TGAGTAGATTCTGCAGAAAGCATGCAAGGTTAGTGGTGTTAGAGTAGGGATGTGTGATAGTGAGTGAGGAGCGACTTTGCAGGTAATAGTGAGAGTGGTAGAGCATGAGACTTGGTGGGAGGTGGGTACAGCAGCAGAGATAATGTGATGTACTGGAGAGAAGATGGTGGCACTTACACTGGCAGAGCAGAGAAGGTCATTGACCTTGTTCTTACATTGCTGAGCATTCCTCTAGACTGCACTGATCCAGGTGGCAACTTTGGACCAGGCTGGCATGGTCTGGTGTTACTGGCCTCCACTGTCGGTGCTGGGGGAACAGTACATCCTAGTTCTGCAACACCCCGTACGGCAGGGCTTTCAGGACCCTGCCCGCAAAACAAAGCAGTGATTTCCCTCTGTCTGCAATATCTGGGACAGATGTCAGGAATTGTGCAGGGTAGCTTCATACTGACAGTGCTTGTCCGGCTTTTGAAAGATAGTGTCAGTGTCAGGGATGCAGGCCTATTTCAGGACTTCCCAGGAGTGACAATTTGTTCTGGGTATGGCCAGTGAGGCTTGGCAATTTAGCTTCCTATTGAAGTCCCTGCTGATCATTCATTATACTGTTGAACCCTTTACCAGATCTGCTCTTTTCTGCCCGAGTGTAACTATCAATAGTCCACACTGGATTCACTGAACTCTCTTTCCCCATGTCTAGCTATATTTTCACTTGAGAATACAGCTACAATGACGTTAATGTCTCCATGTGCCTATGCTGATCCCTTTCAGCTCCTGACTGGCTAGCTAAGCCTTTATTAAAATGGCAATATGGTATTTCTCTTACCTGAGAAAGAATTTTCCTTCATTTTCTTCCAGTTCTTTTGGACACTTTCCACTGTTGGTCTCTTCTGGATTTTAAACAACAGCACCCACTGCTGCCAAAATGTTTTAATATGATCGGCCCCTCATTCTTCTAAACTTCAATAAGTATAGGCCCTGTTACAATATGATGTAGTGCAGAGTATTGCTTGTCATTGGGGCAGACTGCTGCCAATCCTCCTTCCAATGGTAGTTGAAGGAGATGTTCCATAGTCTGTGGTGGAGTACGGTCAATGAATAAGTCTCAGCAGAAGAGGCACTTGTCTTAGTATCTAAGTTTTGATTTGATTTATTATTATCACATGTACTGAGATACAGGTTATTAAATCTGTAACTGTATACAACAATATACATAAACCCTTATGAGTTTCACCATTAAAGGTAGAGAAGACATGTGTCCTTATCAGGAAACTGTGCCAAACTTCAACTGATTCTTCACCTAGAGGCTGTGTAACACCATCAGACGGGGAGGGGGGAGCTCAGTATTGTTTAAAGTTGTTCTGAAAGAGTTCCATTATCTTCTACAACAGGCCCAACCTGTTCAACCTTTCCTCATATGATACACCCTTCATCACAGGAATGAATTGAATGAACTTCTGAATTGATTCTAACGCAATTTTGCTCTTTTTTTCAAATCTGGAGACCAAAACTGCACACAGTATGCAGTCTCTTCAATACCCGGTACCGCTGCAGTCAATCTTCCCTTTATGCCCCTACCTCTGAACCAGGAGTCCCACCTGCTCTAGAAGTATGTCATAACATCTCTGAACAGGTTGATTAGGAAATATTTATTCCAGTTATCTTCCAATAAATGCAAACATTCCATTTGCCTTCTTAATCACTTGTTGTGCCTGCATACTAACATTTTCTGATTCTTGTACCAGAAAACCCAAGTCCCTCTGTGCCAATGGGTTAAGCAAGCCCTCTCCATTTAAATAATGTACTGTTTTTCCTGCTTTTCTATTCTTTCTGCCAAAGTGGGCAAGTTCACAATTGCTCCCATTATACTCCATTTGTCAATTTTTGTGTGCATTCACTTAGCTGTCTATATCCAAATGCAGGCTCACTGCCTCTTCTGGACAACTTACTTATCTACAGTCTTGGTGTCATTGGTAAATTCAACAACCATTTATTTGGTCCCCTAATCCATATGTTTATATACATTATAAATAGAATAGGTCCCAGGACTGATCCCTGTGGCACTCCATTGTTACTGCTTGCCACTCCAAAAAGATCCATTTATTCCCCAATATCTCATTCTCGTCAGCCAATAAATCCTCTATCCTTGCTCATACGTTACCCCCTACACCATTTGCTCTTATGTAATAACCTTTGTTACTTATGTGCAGTAACCTTTGATGTGGCATCTTATCAAATGCCTTTTGAAAATACTGGTTTGATTTTGGCTATAATTGAAGTACTGTTTGGATTGTACATGTTGGTTGGTGGTTCTATTGTTAAAAAAAAACACGATAGTCCAAATATACTCTCACCAATTCTCCTTCCAGTGATAGCAAGACTTTTATACTCTAGCTCCCTTGTAATAAATATCAAAGATCCATTTGCCTTCCTTATTACTTGCTGTACCTAAATACTAACAATTTGTGATTCAAGCACAAGGATACCAAAGAGATCACTCTGTACTGCAGAATTCTCTCTCCATTGAAGTAATATTTTGCTTTTCATCAAAATGGACAGCCTCATATTTTTCCACAATATACTCCATCCACAGAAGTTTTCCCAATCATGTAACCTATCCATACCTCTTTGCAGACCCTTCTCATCTTCCTCACAAACTCCTTTCCTATCTATCTATGCACAGTCAGCAAATTGACCACTTCATCCCTTCATTCCATCTGTGTCTCCATTCAAGTCATTAATATAGATCAATAATAGTTGAGGCCATAGCACTAATTTCTGGGACTCTATTATTTAGTTCAGGCAAGACAATTTTTTCTCATCGAGCGCATCCAAGCCCACAGTGTTTCTTTTATGCATGCTGTGGAGATGCCGGTGTTGGACTGGGGTGGACAAGATCAAAAATCACACGACACCAGGTTATATCCAACAGGTTTATTTGAAGACACAAGCTTTCGGAGTCTGAGACCTGAAGAAGGAGCGAGACTCCGAACGTTTGTGTCTTCAAATAAACCTGTTGGATTATAACCTGATTTCTTTTATGCAACCTCTGGCATATTAATTGAATGGGATGATAACCTGGTTCAGAGAGCACTGTAGATGTTTGTTAAGACAAAACCATGGATATTTGATCTGCTGGCTTCACTTACTTGTTACCAAGAAACTACAGACACCCAGTCGTGGCTGCAGAGGCAAAAACAGAAGTTGCTGGAGAAGTTCAGCACATCTGGCAGCATCTGTGAAGAGAAATCAGAGCTAATGGTTTGGGTCCAGTGACCCTTCCTTAGAACTGCAGAGGCAGTTATACTCCATCCATCAATTCTTTGTGTGCATTCGCTTAGCTGTCTGTATTCCTCTGCAGACTCTCTACCTCATGGCTACAAAGGCATTTTGCAGCTCTCAGGAAAGCAAAAGCAGCCAGCTCAGGTTTTTGAACCTGGTTTGGATGTGGCAATCAGGATTGGAGGATAGCATCGGCTGAGCTCTGTACATAAATACTTGTCCACATTAAATGAAGTTAAATGCACTTTTGAGAACGAATGGCTTGACAGCCAAGCACTTGGGGTCACAAACTAATTTTACAATGCAGGCCACAGTGAATATGAAAGTAGCATAAGTCTTGTTTCAGACACTTGTGCTGATAACTACATGGGAACTTTTACCAGTTTGTCAAGCAGCATACTTTCAGAACGGAATAGCATGCTGCCCACTGTATTTGACACGTAGATGACCACTTTCAACTGTTTAAACAAGTACAGCACCATCATATTTCTCACCGACAGCTTGCTCTTCCTTATCCAGCAATTATGCTAGCATAGACCTTAGTTAATCAGTCTTACATGATTGCACTGTAAAAAGACAAAATTGCCAAAGACAACCACAATAATCACAACACTGATTCCATGCTAGTATTACAAACAGTTATGATATTACAAGTTCACTGCCTATACATAAGGACAGCACAGAAGTGCTCCTCAAAGAGCTGGGCACCTTTAGCACTTTGGTCCCACTGCTACCAGCAATGTAAACTACACAATTTGGAAATGCTAAGCTAAACCTTTAATATTGCTGGTTCTATGTCATAGAGATGTACAGCACGGAAACAGACCCTTTGGTCCAACTTGTCCATGCCGACCTGATATCCTAAATTAATGTAGTCCCATTTGTCAGCATTTAACCCATACCTCCCCAAACCCTCCGTATTCATATACCCATCCAAATGCCTTTTAAATGTTGTAATTTTATCAGCCTCCACCACTTCCTCTGGCAGTTCATTCCATATACACACCATTCTCTGTGTGAAAAGTTGTCCCTTAGGGCCCTTTTAAATCTTTCCACTCTCACCTCAAACCTACGCCCTCTAGCTTTGGAGTCCCCTATCCTTAGGAAAAGACCTTGGCTATTCACCCTATCCATGCTCCTCATGATGTCTTTCCCAATTATTGGGACAGCCTTTCATTGGATGCTCGTACTTCACCCATTTGAAAAAAGTAAACATAGAAATTCCTCTATCCTTAACTCTCAATCACTCTCATAATAAAAAAATTCTCCCAAGAGTGTTCATGGCATTATTATTTGATGTGCAAATTTCTAATTCACCACCTGTTAATGCATTAAAAATAATGTGTACACTTGCATTTACTGCTTACATTGCCGTTCTCCTGGTGTGAAAACATTTTATGTAGGCATTCAATATTTAAATATAATAATATTCAGCTAATCAGAATTTCATGTCTAAACATAACAAGATGGCCGAGTAATACTTCAGGTGCCAAGTGTAAATGCTAAGTGACATTATAAGCCCTGTGTGACATGTACCACAAAAGACTTACTATGAGTAACAATGAAAGAGACCTATTTGGTTTACTCAGAAATTAAAAATCAAAGACACTCTGAACAGATGACCTAATGAAACCATAGCATTGCAATTAACAGCTTTCCTCAAAGCAGATTATACCTATTTTCATGAATATTAAAAATAAAACAGAGAAACATCAACAAACCTGGTAGCTTCATCCCCTTGATCTTTTCTTTAGATTGAAGCGAGAGGGGAAAAAAAGACATCATTAATCTACAGTCATGACACAGATTTAAAGCATAAATTTTGAAAACGAATGGTGAAGTAGAAATTTTGAACTGAATAGATGCAATACCTTCTGTTTACTTTAAAACAAAATACCTGAAATAGAGTGTTCTTATCTTGATGTGAGATGAGCATGTTAAGAAGTCATTTCTCACACACAATCATCAGGACAGAGAATTTGTGATGTGATCACACTTGTAAGACAGCTTTTCAAATGCACAAAATATTCAAGGATGGATTACTGTAAGACATGAGTTCATGGAGATATTGGAAGGGATTATGAACGAGCTGAAACACTGAACTGCGACAATATTATTCGGTTGGAACCTATCATAATTTACCATCAGTGCAGTCACTGATAAGGAAGCTAATGTTTTCTTTATAAGGAGGTGTGGAAAGGTAGCTAATCCATTAGTTTAAACAAAGACAAAGTGCTGGTGAAACACAGCAGGTCTGGAAGCATCTGTGGAGAGGAAAAGAGTTCATGTTTTGAGTCCAGTGACTGTTTGTCAGAACTGAAAGCAGCTGGTAAATGGTGGAATTTATGCTGATGACGGTGGAGTGGGCTGCGGAAGTAAAAGGAGTGAGTCAAACAATTGAAGACAGTTCCGAAAGAGTTAAAGAGAGAGAGAGGAGAAAAGGAAAAGTAGACAAAGGGATTACTGATGCTAAGCAGAAGACAGATGAAAGGGAAGTGTGAACAGTTGAAAATGAGTTGGGTGTGCTGGGAGCAGCTCATACAGAACAGGACCTGGGGTGTGGGGGTGGGTAATGAATATGGAGAAATCTGTTCAAAGGCTGAAATTATTAAACTCAATGTTGTGTGCTGAGAGCTGTAAAGTACTATATAGAATACGAGGTGCTGAGCTTCACTGGAGCACTGCAGCTGACCTGAGACAAAAATGTTCACATGGGAAAATGGTGATACATTGAAGTTTCAGGCAACTGGAAGCTCAGGATTGTTTTTGGCTTCGTCTCCTCCATTTGACTTATATTGGCTGAACTGAGAGTCCTTCTGAACTAAGATTTTGCAGTTCATCATGGACAAAGCAAAGAACAGTACAGCACAGGAACAGGCCCTTCAGCCCATGAACCCTGTGCCGAGACATAATGCCATTCTAAACTAAAAATCTTTTTTGTCTGTGCAGTCCGTTTCCCTCTATTCTCTGCCTATTCACCTATCTGTCAAGATGCCTCTTAAACATTGCTATTATATTCATCTCCACCACCTCCTCTGGTATTGCATTCCAGGCACTTACCACCCTCCATGTAAAACAAAATTGCCTCTTGTATCTCCTTTATACTTTCCCCTTTTTATCTTAAACCTGTGTCCTGTAGTAATTGATATTTCTACCCTGGGAAAATGACTTCAACTATCCATTCTATCAGGTCACCCACCATCGTTTAATGTTCAAGTGAAAATAAACCAGTTTGTCCAATCTCTCCTCATAGCTAATACTCTCCAAACCAGGCAACCCCTGGTAAAATGTTTTTGTATCCTCCATAAAGCCTTCACATCCTTCTGGTAGCAACCAGACCTATGTGCAATATTCCAAATGTGGCTAACTTAAATTCCATACGGCTGCAACATGACTTGCCAATTTTTATGATGTATGCCCTGATCAATGAAGCCATGCATGCTACATGGTTTCTTGACCACCTTACCACTTGTGTTTCCACTTTCACAGAACTGTTGACCAGTATGCATAGAATGCTCTGTATGTTCATAGTACTAAGAGTTCTGCCATTCACTGTATACTTCATTCCTGTATTAGATTTTTCAAAATGCATCACCTTACATTTATCCAGATTAAACTCCATCTGCCATTTCTCTGTCCAAGTCTCCAGCCTATCTATATCCTGCTGTATCCTCTGGCAATCCTCCTTACTATCCACAGCTTCCCCAATATTTGTTTCATTCACAAGCTTACTAATCAGGCCACCTATGTTCTCCTCCAAATCGTTTATATATATTACAAACACAAGGGTCCCAGCACTGATCAGTGCAGAACATCACTGGTCACAGATCTTCAGTCAGAAAAACTCTCTTCCACTGCTACCCTATCTTTGATGACCAAACCAGTTCTGTATCCATCTGTGACATCACCTTTGTGTATCAGCCTGTCATACGGGACCTTATCAAAGGCCTTGCTACAGTCCATGTAGACAATATCTACCATCCTGCCCTCATCAATCATCTTTGTCACTTCCTCAAAAACCTCAATTAAGTTTGTCAGACATGACCTCCTCCAGACTCAGCCAATAAATCCATATTTTTCTAAACAAGTTAATCCTATCACTAAGAATCTTCTCTAATAATTTCCCTACAATGAAGTATAGCTCACTGGCTTGTAATTTCACAGGTTATCCCTGTTGCCCTTCTTAAACAAAGGAACATTAGCTTTTCTTCAGTCCTCTAGGACCTCTCCTGTTACCATACAGGGTGCAAAGATTTCACTCAAAGCCCCAGCAATTTCCTTGCCTGCCTCCCTCAGCATTCAGATCCTGGGGGCTTGTCTACCTTAATATTTAGCCTATTGAGAGAGCGAAGGGAGAATACTACCAACTGACATAGAAAAAAAATCTGAAAAACAAGTAGTGTAAAATGTAGGTGCATAACAACCATTTTATGGATGTAATCAGTAGCCACAGAGGTCCCATATAGAATCTGTGATATGCGAGCATTTTTTTGTTTGGCAAGTGTCATACCAGGCCCCAAATTGATGAGGGCATTGGTGCATGTGTAGTGAGTATTACAGGCACATCTTCACGAATATCATGAAATTTTGTAAAAACATACCATTTTTGAACTAGACACTCCAGGTAACATGCTCTCTTAATCACACTGCTTTGCAAATGTTATATATCAACTCAGTGATGTAAATCTGAAAATAATTCCACTGCATCACTCTCCAGCAGGTATACATGTGGAGAATAATGCAGGACAATACATGATATTCTAACACAGTCATGATGTTTTCACTCTATGGTAATCTATACTGCACTCTAGCCACCTAAGTCTGTACAATAAAATAAATTATCGGACAGCAAGGCCTAAATTGTGGTAACAAGGCTCATGGTTCCAGAGCACAGACCATCCACATATCGACAGCATGCATACAATGCTACCATACAAAATGTCTAGTGCATACCATTGGTGCCACTCTGTGTTTGAAATCTTTTGAAGTTCTGCTCTGCCTTTTGGTGTCTTCTCTATTTTTTTCCTAAACCTCATGGACTGTAATCTAACTTCAATTTGACAATTTTGAAGTCTACCTCACTGTCATCATGTTTTCATCATGGTTTGGTCTGCTGCTGTGATTTCATACATACTTCACAGGACATTGGCTGTCTACACATGCACTCTGAAACTATTCCCTCTTCACTAGGTTTATCTCTGTTCTTGGTCTCCAGCAATCCTTATTCATCCTTATCTTAGAGTAAGGCTCTTTCACTCTCCAGTGCTGTAACAATCTAAATTTACATTTGGATACGTGCAGGTTACTGAATACAGCTCTCTGGTGTCATGCCTAACTGTGCTTTTTACAGACCTCTCTCTGTTCTCCCTTCTGTTCCATTTCATTCTACACTGTTTTGTTGATGTCAGTGTAATGTCATCAGTTAATGCATCATCAGAATGCTTTGGAGGAGGCCTGTAGTAATTGATACGGCAAGTGTCAAGTTTTGAAGTAGTATACTATACAGCTTACCACTGTGAGGGCAAAACCCATTTCATGATGTTCGTGAAGATTTGCCTGTAATACTCACTGCACATGCACCAATGCCCTCATCAATTGCGGCCTGGTATGACATTTGACAGCTGAGGAGAAGGAGGATGAGGAACAGAGGACAAAACCTGTACTGATCAGGTTGTCCTACCATTCACCAGCTGTCCCACACCTTACTTTCTCTTTGTCACTGACCATCACACACAAAATAAAACTGAGTTTATCAATCAAACCATTTTGAATTGTGTAGACAGGGCAATGAATGATCCTTTCTTCTCTTGGGCCTGTCTGGCTTTGTCTGTCCTCATGCTCCTTGGAGGATGACCTTAAGCATTTCTGCACCTGGAAGGCTTGACTTTGGACTGCACCGTCTTGGCATGGATCTGAACTGGATGGGGGCTGGCATTCCGAGAGGCCAACAGGTATGTGCTCCGGTGCCACTCCCTCATGGTATTGCCTTTGCAACTAAAGTAACACATGCTGAACTGATGAGAAACCCTATGAGCTCCGTTGAGCACTAGTAACTACACCTATTATGGCAGTTATAGAGTCATTGAGATGTACAGCACGGAAACAGACTCTTCGGGCCAATTCGTCCATGCCGACCAGATATCCTAAATTAATCTAGTTCCATTTGCCATCATTTAGCCCATATCCCTCTAAACTCTTTTTATTCATGTATCCATTCAGATATCTTTTAAGTGTTGTAATTGTACCAGCCTCCTCCACTTCCTCTGGCAGTTCATTCCATATATGCATGGCCCTCTGCATGAAAAGGTTGCCTTTAGGTCCCTTTTAAATCTTTGCCCTCTCACCTTAAACCTATGCCCTCTGGTTTTGGACTCCCCCACACCAGGGAAAAAACCTTGGCTATTCACCCTATCTATGGCCCTTAACCTCTGATGCTCCCGAGAAAACAGGCCCAGTCTATTCAGCCTCTTCCTATAGCTCAAACCCTCCAACCCTAGCAACATCTTTGTTAATCTTTTCTGAGCCCTTTCAAGTTTCACAATATCCTTCCTATAGCAGAAAGACCAGAATTGCATGCAGTATTCCAAAAGTGGCCTAACCAATGTCCCGTATAGCTGTAAAATGACCTTCCAACTCCTATATTCAATGCAGTGACCCATAAAGGCCAGCGTACCAAATGCCGTCTTCACTATCCTATCTACCTGCAATTCCACTTTCAAAGGTACTACGAACCTGCGCTCCAAGGTCT